TTCCCAGAATGAAAAGGCTGCTGTAAAATGAAAGCTATTTAAAATTAATTATATCACTGTAATTGATCATTGAAATATTTTCTGGTGAAAGCAAGCAAGTGAAAAAAAATGAACAAGTACAAAAAATGAAACAAAGAAGAGGAAACAAGCTAAGATGTACATTCCAGTAGAAAAATAACTCAAGATAATGCTCCTCTATCTCTTTAGTTTATTCTGAACATGCTGAAGAGATTTAGATATCAGATTTTATTTTTCATTTAAGTAGAAAGAAATGAAATTAAGTCATTGACTGCTGAAATGAAAGTGAATAGGGGGAAGTCTAGCTAGTATAGCAGAAGACAAATAAAAAAAAGTCTGAAAGGCCACTCAGATTTTAAAGACAAAAAGATTACTCATTGTTTCAGCCACTTGGGTTGAGGGAGGTTGTGTATAGGCACCAATTACAGCAACATTGTAGTGAGTAGGAGGAATCCTGGACTACAAAATTGCTCAAATGTTTTACACACGTTCAGCCTCCAGAAGATACTGACTCTGAAGAAGTACTAATTCCTCTCTAAACAGGTACACACCAGGTGCACATCTGGCATTGTTTTTATACTGCTGATGCATTTTGTGATGAAAAAATGCCTATGGAGTGTGGAATGAGGGAAGAAGACTTAAAAAAAATTCTAAGATTTTGTTTGTAAGGTACTTTGCTGTCATATCAACCCCAGTACATACATTTTTCTGCAGTAGACATCTCCAGCTCTGATTTTACAGGAAACAAATAGAGTAAGTTCTCATGTTTGCTTGGGATTTTTTTCCCCAGCATTATGTCTGTGTGTTATCTTTTTGGAATAAAAAGAGATAGCAGTATGTTAGATCATTACAATCCCACCTGATCAGAGAACAGAAAAGCAAATAGAGGAGGGACCAAGAAAATAAAATCTTTGCAGACTTGCCCCATCTGTGTTTTGGTTCCAGTATGTTGAGATGGAACTGGTATTACTGGGCCCTTGTTAATAGTATCTACATGAGATGGAACTGGTATTACTGGGCCCTTAAGCAGTTGTTAATAGTATCTACACTTTAGCAATGACCTACAAAAAAGCAGTTGGCAGACTTCTCATCCCAGGTCATTTGAGGAAAATTCCCCGGAATCTAATCTCATAAAGAGGAAAAAGAAGCCGTTCTTGCATAAAACATCCTTGTGTTTGGGAAGGACTTCAGCCTTCAGGCAGTTGTATTGGTGTTTTATCTTGTTCATAGATCTGCTAGTTAAAAAAAAAACAACAACAAGTTTGGGAAGGACTTCAGCCTTCAGGCAGTCGTATTGGTGTTTTATCTTGTTTCATAGATCTGCTAGTTAAAAAAAACCAACAACAAGCCATCAAACTCCATGAAGGACCAGGAGCTTGTTTGATTCAGACTTTGAGGCTTCAACAACCTATGCTTGGGAACAATCTTTTATGTTTTTTGATAAATGAGCTATCTGCATTTTAGGGTTGAATTAGTTGAAGAGAAAGGGTTCCTATAAACATTTGTGAGAACTTAGCTTACTTTTATTTATTGGCATAGTCCTAATCATTTGTTTTGAATAAGGTTGTTTTGAAAAGCATGAATAGTGCAGCTCAGCTGATATGAATTAGCCTAGGGGTTTTTTAGGTTGCTTTTATTCAATAAATACTATTCCACAACACATAGGATGGGATGTATTCCAGAAAATGAATCGAATAGTGCAGCTCAGCTGATATGAATTAGCCTAGGGTTTTTTTAGTTTGCTTTTATTCAATAAATAGTATTCCACAACACATAGGATGGAATGTATTCCAGAAAATGAATGTCTGTAGCATAACTCAGGATAAACAACAGATAACCAGAACATAAATACCTTTTAGGTGATAGCTGTAATATTCATTTCTTGAGCAAACATCTTCCTAAGCTCAGCTGATATGAATTAGCCTAGGGTTTTTTTAGTTTGCTTTTATTCAATAAATAGTATTCCACAACACATAGGATGGAATGTATTCCAGAAAATGAATGTCTGTAGCATAACTCAGGATAAACAACAGATAACCAGAACATAAATACCTTTTAGGTGATAGCTGTAATATTCATTTCTTGAGCAAACATCTTCCTAAAGATTAAGAATTTTTTCAGACTAGATATGCTGCATTCAGTTTCTGAGAATTATCACAGGTTAGTTTTAGGGGGGCTTGCGCTATAAAATGTTTGCAGCAACTAACTTTTTTTTTCCCCTGTCAGCTGTAGCCCATTATTTTGGACACATAATCATTCTTCTCATCATGTCTAATTTTTATGCCAGCTGTGCCTGTGAATGCCTTTATTCATTCTGCGTAAACTCCGCCCTTGTCAGTCTGTTATATTAAAAATTGCTCCTGCACAGTGGATAGATGACCACACCACTGATTACTGGGGTAGGGATTCTGAACTCTTCTGGTGGAGAATGTTGCACCATATCCAGTTACTACAGCTTAGTTGTATTATGCTGCATGTGAAAGACATGCCATAAACACTCATCTAAGTGCCAGCTACTGACAAGAAGCTTCAGAAGCTTCAAATGCCTAAATGAAGGGAGTTGCTAATGGAATGTGGCAAGTCAAACCTTGATCCAAGGTAGAAAAAAAGTTTTTCTATGTGTTTGTCTGATATTTGTCATGTTTTATGCTTGATCAAAACACATCTTAGTAAAGTTGTCCAAGCGAAATAAGAAAGGAAGGAGGGGATGTCAATTGCTGTTTCAAACACCATTCATTCTGAATCAAAGAAAATGTTAATTAGTGTCAGGAAGCTGAATTAAGTAAATGTTGACTGCCTTTGTAGCAAAGATCAAGTCAAAGTAAGTGAAACAGGAACCCCTGTAACATTGGAGTAGTTTTAATGTATGTCTATATATGGTAATGAATAGGAAATGAAGCAAGAAATACAATGTTTGGGAAAGAATCTCGTCATGATTTGCAGAGATAATTACAGGCAAAAAGGAGATTGAATATAGCAACAGGAAAAGCAGAATAATTATGCAGCAATTAACAGGAAAGCTGCACGGTTCTTTGAAAAAAATAACAGTCATTGGGTTAAAAATATATGCTGAGTACAGAAATGTTTTAATACTCAATGCATCAAGTATTTGAATTCATTTCCTAAGATAAAATACTGTTTCATAAAATAAATATCCCATTATGTGAAAATATGTTCTGCATCTTATGATTCATTATAATTGTTTGTATTTTTATCTTATATATGTCATCTGAATTGGAGGAAAAAAACTAATAAATGTTCATTTTGAGTGCTGATGCATAGTGTCATAATCATAAGAAGATATAGATTTTAAGTTAATATTTCAAAGAGTGCAAATGTCATATAAGCCAGTAGAAAAACAGCTACTCCTAGATTTGCAAGAAAATTAGTTTCTCATGTGTCCTAAAATCTTCATATTCTGGTAACATTATTGTCTACTGTTATTTGACTGGAGGCAAATTTGGGTTTTGGTTGTGTTGTAGGTCTTCTGATAATTAGTTAGTTAGCAACAGCATACTCAAAAGTTCTCTTTCTGAAATGTAACTTACAAAAATTCCTCTTGAAATCTGTGGGAATATCTGGTAGTTCTTCTACAGGAAATCTGTCGTGCATCTTCAAGTGCATTAAAATGACATCTGGGGAACACTGCACACCCAGGATACACTTAGCTGGAGGAACGAGAAAGAGGCTACCACTGGGTAGCTGCATCACTAAGGAAAATTATTTAGGAGGTGAAATCTTTCGTTTAAACCTAGTGGGGAAAATTCTGTCTATCAATGAGTAAAAATCCACCATACTTCATGTTATGATTCTAGACAGGGGGACCTGCTCTGAATTGTGTCATTTGTATGAATATGTTATTGAGAAACATATCTGTCCTTTCTGTCATTTCAAAACATTAAATCTAGATCTGAAATGTACAATCTTCATTGCTTTGAACAAGTTCACCACTTACTCTGGATAAAAGGTAGAAGAATACATGCCTCCTGCTGCAGGAATTGGTTGAGCAAGGCTTGACTAGGCTTGCAAGCTGTTCTAAGTTATGTCATAAGCTCCTCTGCTGCCTCTGTACTGCACATTCTGAGTGAGAAAAACATGAGGGAAGATGAAGGGCTGGTGGGCCAGGGCACCCTGACACTGCAGGCAGAGCCTGCCCTGCAGGTTCAAGTGGAGACCTCTGATAGGACATTGCCTTTCCCTTCTGTGTATAGGCTCAAAGATGACAAAGTGGACATCAAATACTGGTAATGATAAAGAGCAATAATCCTGTCAGTAGTAACAATTAATGCTTCTATGGTGTCCTTCATTCATTGACCTCTAATCTCTTTGCATAGATTGGTTCAAGCTATGAAATAGATCAATATAATTTCTATTCACATCTATACTGGTATATATATTTCTATGTATAAGTAAATGAAACCAAGAATTCTTACTAGGAAGCATTAAAAACTGCTTGGATTAAATGTTGTTTAAAAAAACCCAAACCAACACAAACATGAAAAAAAAATCCCCAATAACACCAACAAAACCAAACCCAAACCAGCTCCCCACCCCCTCCCAAAAAAATAAAAAGCTAAACAAAACAAACCATTTGAATGCTTTTGTGATATACAAATACTTCTGCTGAATGACTAGGCTCAGATTTTTTCTTTGTTGTGTTGTGAAATGTGCAGATACAGAAACTGTGCAAAACCAATCTGAGAAACTGAATGCTTGACTGGAAGAGTTTGTGTGTATAAATCATATGAAGATTAACCATAATGCTGTGAATCATCCCTAGCATTCTGATCACAGCAACTGTAAATTTTGTTAATTGTATACTGTGCACTGATCATGGCTAGCAGCATAGGTAGGGATACAAATATTCGCTTATTCCCTCCCTGAAGGAGCAAATATTAAGAAACATAATATTGATTAAGGTCAAGTCCTATTCACAAAATGCAATGATTGTGTTACTAGTGTATTGTATCCTTTTTTTTTAGGTTATTCAATACTTCAAGCTATTATGGAAAAAGCGGGACAAAATAGCTGGCAAGTCAGTGCCATCTGTGTTGAGAATTTTAATGATGCCAGCTACAGGAGGCTTTTAGAAGACCTGGACCGAAGGCAAGAAAAGAAATTTGTAATAGACTGCGAAATAGAGAGGCTTCAGAATCTCTTAGAACAGGTAATACCTGCTTTTAATGTCACTGTAAACACGACTGAAACTCCAGATGAGATACCATTGTGCATTACATTTCGGTTATTTTCTCAATGGAAATGAAAACGTTTGTTCTTGGTTGGTTGTTTTTCTTTCCCATGGGCCTATATTTGTGCATCCACTCGCCTGCTCTCTTTTCTTGTCATATATAATATTTGTCTTAGCAGCCAGTATGTCAGTGCAGTGAACCTCCCCTTCCCACTGAGGAGGTCTGTGACCGAAGGGTGCCAGCAGTCAGGGCAGCTGCACATTTGGCCCTGCTTCCCAGAGCCTCCATGCCTGATACATCTTGCATCAGGGTCATAGGGCTGGCAGAACAACATGGTGCTGCTGAATTGCCAAGATGCTCTTAGTCTGTACCTTCATGGGGCTAAAGCTCAGTTTTATCTGAGGGGAAAAAAGAGCTTGTTTAAATCCAGTATTACTTTCTATTCTCCAAATAGCACAGGTCATGTATTTTTAGCCATAAAATGCTTTAAAATTATTGTGACAAATATTTAAACTGATAGTTTTATTACCTTAGCAGAGAATCTAGGAACATGAAGAACAGTGAAATAAAGGAAGGTCAGATTCTTCCGTCAGTTATTCATGGAAAGCTGCTATTAGATAAAGAAAATACTGAGCTAAACAGACTGGCTTGCACTGGGTAGTCTCTATACCAGTGTGCAAAGTGAATATAAAATCCTGCTGCTCTGATGCAGCAAATCTATCTTTAGATAATGTTTGTGTTATGCTCCTTCTTAAATGATGTCAAAAATAAAATAATGCTTTGAAAGGAAAATTTTGTCAAATGACAGGAAAATAACTTACTGTTAATTAATCTGCTTCTTGCATGATCCCACGTATTACATTGCTGTGGTGCAAGTTCACCGTTCAGCACCTGCTGCTGCTGCAGGAATTGCAGGGAATGAATGCCATCTGCTGGTGCTGGACCCTTCGCCACCACACTGTTTCTCTTGACTAGTGCATTAGAGAATTTTGAAGATTTTGTTGCAAAAACATTCGTGATGCATCTGCCACTGAAGTCACTGAAATATGAAAAGTCATTTGTGATAGAGAAATTCATAAAATAGTACTCATAAATGCATAAAATAGTATGCATTGACATATATACATCAACTTTGCTTTCACTGGCAGAAGGCAAAGAGGGAAACTGAGAATTATTAGCATGGCTGATATAACAAGGACTTCTATGACTGCTGCCAAGAGAAGAACAGACAATGACATATTGCTACAGATATGCATTTGGCCATTATATTTTTTATTCTGAATGCCATTATGTTTTAACACATGCTTTCCTTAGCCTATAATGAAATCCTCCCCCAGTTCAGCCTATATTATAGTAAAACCGAACACCCATGTGAGGGTCTTCTAAAATACATTCAGAAAAACAATTTCTCTCTCAGCTCAGTGTGTGCCTGATGTACCTGATTTCTTTTACATGGCATGCAAATATGACACAGAAAAAGTATGTTCTATTACCATAAGTCTTGAAGTACACCCACTATCATGTGTAGGTGTATCTACTGACTATCCACTCGGTTTGAAAGGAAAGTGAAGTCATCAAGTACATGTTTGGATCTCACTGATCTCACGTGTACATTTTATTTGCACCCAGGAGCTGCTACTCATTTTTTCTTCTAGATTGACACCTTCACAGTCAGTTCATAAAGGTCTGGATTTTGCATGCCTAAAATAGGTAGCTGGTGCAGGCATGCTAAGTCATAAAAATGAAGTGTCTGGACACAACAGACCAAATCAGGCAGGGTGAGTTTGGCTTACACCTCTGCAGAGAGAGCCTGAGAACTAATTGGGTCCTCTTTTCATTAACTGCACAGAGTGGAGGGTAGGAGTTAATACCTAACATGCAACATACATACATCATTTTTAGGAAGGGATTTATCTGGCTACTGTCTAATTTTAAGTGGGTTAAATTTTACCTAGGAAATGAGCTTTTATGTACTTGTGCTTGTGTTTATTTGCCCCTAAGTATAAAACCTTTGCCTTAAATCTGTGCTAATGAAATGAAAGAAACTGGCTTGTGGTCTTCAGGATTTTTTCTTTCCTCAGTAGTGGCCGCCTACAAATAT